CTTGATGCAATTTAAAAATGGGCTCAAAATGATTCAAACTTTCTGAACTTCCAGCCAACATTAAAGTTTGTTTTGCACCTTATTTACACGGACCACCAAATTTTTCAACTTGAACAATGAAAACAATAAAAAACAGCCTGCGTTTCCAGACTATCTTGTAAAAAATAATAAACTCTAATATAAGACTCTAATAGCATATTTTTTATGACAACTGTAAGATTTAGGATTTTTTTCAAATTAATAATTTATATCATTTAAAAAAATTAAAAAAAAAAAAAAGTTTATACTTATACTATTTTAATATAAAACTTTATTATATTCTATTTTATTATATACTTTGTTATATTATATTAAAATTTACAATTTTATTTTACTATGACTTATTATTTTTATTATTATATTATATATAATATTATATTATTTTATGATGATTTTATTTTATATTTAATTATTATTTTACTTTAAACTTGATTTTTTGTTTAGTCTTTATTTATCTTTTATTTAGCATTTGTTGTTTTTTAATAGTTGCTGACTAAAATCACTGAGGTGATAAATTTTAGTCTACAAATTTATTCAAGATCTTGTATTACATCAACATTTGTATTATATCAACATTTTTATTATATCAACATTTGTATTATATCAACATTTGTATTATGTCAACATTTGTATTATAACAACATTTGTATTATATCAACATTTGTATTATATCAACATTTTTATTATATCAACATTTGTATTATATCAACATTTGTATTATGTCAACATTTGTATTATAACAACATTTGTATTATATCAACATTTGTATTATATCAACATTTGTATTATAACAACATTTGTATTATATCAACATTTGTATTATAACAACATTTGTATTATATCAACATTTGTATTATATCAACATTTGTATTATAACAACATTTGTATTATATCAACATTTGTATTATATCAACATTTGTATTATGTCAACATTTGTATTATGTCAACATTTGTATTATATCAACATTTGTATTATGCCAACATTTGTATTATATCAACATTTGTATTATGTCAACATTTGTATTATGTCAACATTTGTATTATATCAACATTTGTATTATGCCAACATTTGTATTATATCAACATTTGTATTGTAACAACATTTGTATTATATCAACATTTGTATTATGTCAACATTTGTATTATATCAACTTTTTAGTCAAAATCTTGTATTAAACAAAAATAAAAACTATTACTTCATCTTTAAGAATTTCCTTCTTCTCATTTCTAAATTTTTCTCTCAGTAATTGATTTATTCTGAAATCATCACTCCAATCTTCCCTTAATTCTTCTAACAGTGTCAATGTTGGTGCTACCTTTTTAGCCTTAGAAGTGTCAGTTGACTGATGTTCAAGTTTAAACATAGCATCAGACATAAGTTTTTGTTTCATACCACGTTCTAGTAAAAGTTTTTGAAACTACATATATATATAAAAAAAGATTTCATATATAACAATTTACATGTTATTAATATTACCCATTGATTGCACATTTCCCGCAGCTTCAGTATCCCACCTTTCTTCTTTCCTGCGACATCCACTTAGTAATAAATAGTCACAGTTCTAAATTGCAAAATCGCTTATGCAAACGTAAAACATTTAACAACAAACTGCATAAATTTAGATTAAGAACAAAATTAGTCAAGAAACCCCACCAGAAAGCAGAGATAATTTAGTAACTTTTTAGAATACCAAATGGATATATATATATATATATATATATATATATATATATATATACATGCATATATCTATATATATATATATATATATATATATATATATATATATATATATATATATATACACACAAACACACACACATATATATTCATAGACACAAAACTTGAAATTTTGATAACCAAAATATGTTACCTTGGGATCAGTTTGTATCTCAAAATGTTGATCACATAAATGACATTTCATTCGAAACTTATAAATTGGTGTGGTATAATAATTTCCCATCTTACGCTTTTGTGCATTATAACGAACCCCTAAAAAATTTTTAAAAGTATTTTAGAGCCATGTGTCATTAACTTTTGAGATAAAAAATTTTCACACAATCAAAAAAACATTACCCATGCCAATGTGGTTATTACACCCAAGACACCATACATTGAATGGCATTTCAAACCTGAAAATAAGTAATTTTAAAATATTATATAGAAAATTCAAAAAAAATTCAAAAAAATTTATTACAAATCTAATAAATATTGCAACCAAAGCAAGAACCATCACTAGGGCAAACACTGTTGCAAGCAATACTAATATTTAAACTATTTTTTGTTAGAAAAAAAGAAAATCAATTTTTTTTAAGAGAGTTTAAAAAACTTAAAAAATAAAAGCAGTGAGCCATTATTTTTCAAAATAACTCACAGATTTTATGTTAAAAGTTTATTTTTGAAAATTGTTTTTTGATGCTTTTTTTCCTAAAACAGACTACAAGGCTGCAATCAAAAAAATATATATATCTACAACAAAATGCAGAAACAAATAACAAATGCATTTTCATTTATTTCTGTTTTTTTCACCTTATGAGTTCTTTTTATAAAATAATCTGTTTCTCTTTTTAATAGTTCTCTAATGTTTTCTTTATTTCATCATGTATCCAATAAGAAAGAACTTTTTATATTTAATTCTTTTCACATTTATTATAATGGTGACTAACTTTGATTTAAAAAAATAAAAATCCAGTGAAATCTTGTAAGTTTTAAGAAATAAAAATTTTATAAAACTTTTACATTAAAATTTACATAACAAAAAACATTCTTGCAAAATAAAATTCTCTGTTAAAAAAAACTCTCATGAAAAAATGTTTCTCATCAAAAATATTTTTAAATTTTCTAAATTTTAACCAAAACTTGACTAACTTATTTTAGAACAAATTTTTGATATAAACTAATATAAAAATTATATACATCACCTAATTATAAGAATTCCTTCATGAAGTTTTCTTGCACGTTCTCTCAATGCATGAGTTCCAAGAAACTTGTTAAGTCCACCCTAATTTCCAATCAAATATTTATATTTTTTTGTTTGATAAAAATTTGAGAAAGTAAGAACATAAGTTTATGTCTCTCTCTCAGTAAAAATTTATGATCATTTTTTTTTCAAATAATAAAAAAAAAAAAAGCAACAAAAAGATTACTCAAATATTTAATTTTTGTGAAAAAAAGTCAAATAAAAATAATTCAAGTTTTGTGAAAAAAAGTCTGTTTATAATGCATTAACTATGGTCAATCTTCAGTCAACAGAACTTAATGTTCAGTCAACAGAACTATGGTCAATCTTCAGTCAACAGAACTTAATGTTCAGTCAACAGAACTATGGTCAATCTTCAGTCAACAGAACTTAATGTTCAGTCAACAGAACTATGGTCAATCTTCAGTCAACAGAACTTAATGTTCAGTCAACAGAACTATGGTCAATCTTCAGTCAACAGAACTATGGTCAATCTTCAGTCAACAGAATGTTTTCAAACCAGAGCAAGAAAAATCAAAGCATTAAACAATTAATCAAAGAACTACCGAGAAACTAAAAAATTCATACTTACTGCTATCAGGAAGAAAAAAAGAGCTTCAAAATGCCAAACCTCTCAAATCAACACTCTTAGTATCATGGGCAAACATACATAATAACATATCTTAGTATCATGGGCAAACATACATAATAACATATCTTAGTATCATGGGCAAACATACATAATAACATATCTTAGTATCATGGGCAAACATACATAATAACATATCTTAGTATCATGGGCAAACATACATAATAACATATCTTAGTATCATGGGCAAACATACATAATAACATATCTTAGTATCATGGGCAAACATACATAATAACATATCTTAGTATCATGGGCAAACATACATAATAACATATCTTAGTATCATGGGCAAACATACATAATAACATATCTTAGTATCATGGGCAAACATACATAATAACACTCTTAGTATCATGTATTATGGGTAAAATACCAACAAAAAAATCAGAAGAGCTACTACAAATAAAAATTTTTTACAGCCACAAAAAAAGGAAAGGGAGAAACGTGAAAATAATATTTGGCATTAATCAAAAGTATTACTTAATCGATCAAAAAAGTTTTTAATACAATTAATCAGAAAGTTGAAGTTAAGTAATCAAATTAAAAATAAATAAGCAACCACTTTTTGTTATTGTTTTAAATAATAAGATAAATCATAATTTTATTTAAAAAGCAGCAAAACTATTGAAAAGCCCAAGTGAGTTTAAAAATGTTTTTATTAACCCTGATTTAACTGAAAGATATAAGATTTAACTGAAAGATATAAGATTTAACTGAAAGATATAAGATTTAACTAGAAGATATAAGATTTAACTGAAAAATATAAGGTTTAACTGAAGGATATAAGATTTAACTAAAAGATATAAGATTTAACTGAAAGATATAAAATTTAACTGAAAGATATAAGATTTAACTGAAAGATATAAAATTTAACTGAAAGATATAAGATTTAACTGAAAGATATAAGATTTAACTGAAAGATATAAGGTTTAACTGAAGGATATAAGATTTAACTGAAAGATATAGGATTTAACTAGAAGATATAAGATTTAACTGAAAAATATAAGGTTTAACTGAAGGATATAAGATTTAACTGAAAGATATAAGATTTAACTGAAAGATATAAGATTTAACTGAAAGATATAAAATTTAACTGAAAGATATAAGATTTAACTGAAAGATATAAGATTTAACTGAAAGATATAAGATTTAACTAGAAGATATAAGGTTTAACTGAAAAATATAAGATTTAACTGAAAAATATAAGGTTTAACTGAAGGATATAAGATTTAACTGAAAAATATAAGATTTAACTGAAAAATATAAGGTTTAACTGAAGGATATAAGATTTAACTGAAAGATATACGATTTAACTGAAAGATATAAGATTTAACTGAAAGATATAAAATTTAACTGAAAGATATAAGATTTAGCTGAAAGATATAAAATTTAACTGAAAGATATAAGATTTAACTACACCTTTTCAAGATGTAAATGAGAACATGAAAGTTGTAATTAAGAAGTCGTAATATGTAATTAAGAAACACAACATGTAATTGAGAAAACGTTATATGTAATTGAGAAACACAACATGTAAAAAAGAAGTCGTAACATGTAATTAAGAAACACAACATGTAATTGAGAAAACGTAAGATATAATTGAGAAATCATAATATGTAATTGAGAAACCGTAACTTGTAATTGAGAACACATAAATTAAAATAGCAAATTCACAGTCTAAGTTTGTAGGTTTTTTTTTTTTTTTTTTTTTTTATTTGCATTCACTCCCAACAAGGCTGCAAGCAACCACTATTAAGTTGGGAGTTACTAGGAAAAAAAAGAAGAACAGAGTTATAGAGCAAGGAAACGGTTGACAGAAGACTTAAAAAGTTGGAGGTTGTATGAGTCAGGAAAACATGAAGATGGGAGAGAGTTCCAAAGGATTGAAGTGCGGGGAAAAAAACTAGACGAATAAAAGTTTTTAGAGCATGCAGGGACAGATACATTAAACGAATGAGACTTAGCTGAATGACGAGTAAAACGAGAATGAATTTTAGTTGATGGAACTAGAGATGATAACTCCTTTGAGCAGTGACCATGATAGTATCTATAGAAAAGAGAAAGAGATGCAACTTTACGACGATGGGAAAGAGGTTCAAGCTTAGCAGATAGTCCAGGTCCAACAACATTTACAATGCGTTTGTTACAAAAAAAAAGGTTGTTACAAAAGGTCTTTTTGGACATGAATTTAAGTTATAATCTTAAATTTTGCTTTTGTATGCACAAGTAATAATAATGGAATTGAAAGATCGTTGTGTTATATGCCAATACACTATGATCCGAAAGTCTGTGATTAAGCTAAATCCGTGTCAACATTTATGTCACCAAATTTGTTTATGTCGAGTTCTGGAACAACCAGATTCAAGTTGTCCAATTTGTCGACATGAAATACACACAACTGAACAAGTTGAAAGGAAACGTTACGTTTTATCTTCTCCAAATGACAGGAGAAGAGTTGTTGAATGTGCGGAGCGATTTGAAGATTGGGTGAATCTCGCGCAAACGCTAGGTATCAAATATAAGACAGCATACAATTGGGTTCGCAGCGGAAATTCAAATTTCATCGGAAAAGGAGGTTTTAAACCGAAAAAGTTGACCGAAGATCAAATCGAAGAAACATTAACATGGATTGAAAATGATTGTCAATTAACATTGGTGGCCATCAAAACAAAGATATTAAGACAATTTAACATAAACGTTAGCACAACAACAATAGCAAATTACCTCGAAGGCAGATTGTTCTCATTAAAAAAAGTGCACAAGGAGCCTTCTACAATGAACAGTTATGAAAACAAACAAAAAAGAGCTGAATATGTTAGAAACATCAACGAACATATCACAAATGGTCGTCAGATAGTTTGGTTGGATGAAACAAATTTTAACCTTTTTTGTAGAAAAACGCAAAGACGCGCGAGACAAGGAAAAAGAGCAATTATGAAAGTACCTGCTTCAAAAGGTTTAAACATACAGTTGATCGCAGCTATTTCAACTACAAATGTCGTCATGATAGAAACTCGCAGGGGATCATTTAAAGCAGATTCCTGTAACGAGTAGATGTTGGCTATGTTTCACCAGTGGGTTACATCCGGGAATCAATTGGAGGATTTGGTCGTCGTAACAGATAATGCTCCTTGTCACTCTCGTTTGCAAAGGGTGTTTGATAATTCACCAGCTCAGTTGTTACGTTTGGGACCTTACAGTCCAATGTTGAACCCGGTGGAAACAATCTGGTCCAAAATTAAAAGTAACGTTAAAAATGCAATTCGCATTCCACCTGTGTTAGGTGACGGGATTGCGGAACAGCGCATGCAGTACTTAGAACGAATTGTAATTGAGGCGAAAAATACTATAATGGGAGATTGTGCACGTGCGGTACAACACACAACCACGCACTATGCAACTATTTTAAATATAGAAGACGTACAAGTTGGTACTTAAATGATCAATGAAGTGATTTTTAATTATATAATTTTTAATTATAATTTTTAATTGAATTATAAATTTTTCCCTAAAATGTTTTTAGTGTTTATTATGTTAAATTCATTTGCCCAAAAATTATAAATTTTTTCCTAAATTTTTCCCTTAAAAATTAAATTTACGCTACAAATCTTACGTCATTTTTAAGTGCGTCATTTTATACGCTCCATTTTTTTACGCGCCATTTTTTTTAAGCGCCATTTTACACTTACTCCTTTAAAGCGATATCTAAATTAAAATCTTTCTATTTCTTAATTACAACTTACATTTTCTCAATTACATGTTACGATTCTTAATTACAATTTTCGTTTTCTAAATTACATCTTATGTTTCTTAATTACAACTTACATTTTCTCAATTACATCTTACGTTTCTTAATTACAACTTTTGTTTTCTCAATTACATCTTACGATTCTTAATTACAATTTTTGTTTTCTCAATTACATCTTGAAAAGGTGTAGAAGATATAAGATTTAAAGGGATCCCTAAGTGCTCCTAACATATGATCTCATATGAAAGAGCATAAAAAAAAAATATGTAAGTTTTTTTTCTTTTTCCCTAAATTGTAATAATAAATGCATGCTAACAAAAAGCAATTGCCGAAATCACTAAAAAACAACTTTTTCACCATTGAAACTCGATTGTTAGTCGTTAAAAATCACATTAGTACGTCACAACAACTTTAGAATATCTACTTCGATTTTCAAATAAAAAAAAGTCGTAATTAAATAGTTAAGTTTTTTAAATTAGTTTTGCAAAAACAGTATAATAGGATTCGATCGAAAGACGTCGTTAAAAAAAAGTTATTAAGTAATAGTTTTAAATAGTTTAGAACTTATAAAAAAGTCTTACAGGGCTCGTATTAAGCGTATCGCGATCGCGATTGCTACAGCACTTTTGTGATTAGTTTTTTCTTAAAAAAAATCTTTTTGCGACTCGTTTTTTTTTTTGGTTGATTAATTATTTTTTTCTAGCTTAGCATTTTTTTTAGCAATTCTTCAAAGTAATGTTTTTATCATAAAGAACTTCACACAAAATTTTTTATTCTGAATAGATAATTTGCTCTTTCGCGCGGAGATTTTCTTTCAACGTAAAACATTTTTGAATTTAAATTACATTAAATCTCTGCGTGAAAGCACTTTTGTGATAAGTTTTTTCTTAAAAAAAATCTTTTCGCGACTCGTTTTTTTTTTGGTTGATTAATTACTTTTTTCTAGCTTAGCATTTTTTTTAGCAATTCTTCAAAGTAATGTTTTTATCATAAAGAACGTCCCACAAATTTTTTTATTCTGAATAGATAATTTGCTCTTTCGCGCGGAGATTTTCTTTCAACGTAAAACATTTTTGAATTTAAATTACATTAAATCTCTGCGTGGAAAATTTTTACAAGGTCGTTAAAGCGAAAAGTTGAAAAGTTGGTTTTTATCTTTGTTTATCAAAACTTCATGTTTAAAATAACGCTTAATATTGTTAGAGCAAAAAAATTACTGACTTTTATTTGCATTTTTATACTGTTTGAAAAAAAAAACTAATAAAAAAGAATTAATATATAATTATTAATTAATATATTCTTTTTTATTAGTTTTTTTTTTATTCAAACAGTAAAAAAATGCTAATAAAAACCAGCAATTTTTTTACTTTAACGTTTTTAAGCCTTATTTTAAACATGAACTATAATTCGATTTATTAAACCAAATTTTTTTGTTTTATCTTTTATTGGAAAACTTGAAATAGAAAAATTGAATAAAAACATCAACCATTTAAATGAAAATCTTAATTATATTTAAACTTTTATTAGTCCTTTATTCAAGAAACAATAAATTATAAAAAACGTGGTATCTAATTTTTGACGATGTTTTTTGATTTATTGACAATAATTTTTTTCCCCCATTACCGCACATCGGCGCGAGCTATAAGAGAGAGGGGAGGGGGGGAGAGAGCTATAAGAGAGAGGGGAGAGAGCAAAAAAAAAAAATTTTTATATATATATATATATATAAGGAGATTTTTTTTGCGATTAGATTTTTTTGCGTTAATTCGAGCCCTGTCTTAGTTTAATTTCTAATAAAATGTCTATTCAACCTTTTCAATTTGAACCAAAAAAATATAGCAATTTAACATAAATGTTAATTTAACTAAAACATTTTACAATCATTATTTTTTTTATCAAGCAAAAATGAGAGTAACCGTCACTTTTGAAACCATAAAAATTACTGAAATAAATTTATTTTTTTACTAAGGAAATATTTTATATAAACTTTCATATGTCTAATTCAATATTCATTTATTTTTAATTGACTAAAAAGAGTTTAAAATTTGACTTCTATTTATTTTTAGCCGTGGAATTGCCCTTATAACACAAATATATAAATTAATATTATAAAAAAAAAATTTTATATACAAATATATTTTCACAAAATGCTACAAAACTTATTCTTGTAAGTAATTATGTGTTAGTTGAAAAAAAACGACTTTACTTTTAAATTTAATTACCAATTAATAAGTTTGCAATAATGACATTTTGTCTACTTAGTTTAATTTGACGTACTAACATTAGTTTTTTGAGGCAATAGAGTAAATAAACTTTGGACAAGGCGCATTTTTTTTAATCGAAGAAAAGCGTTTTTTTGAAAATTAAATTTGTTAGTGTGCGTTCATTATTACGTTTTAGAAAAAATAATATACATCAAACATTTTTTTTTTTTAATGCTCTATCATATGAGATCATATCTTTATAGGACTTAGGGATCCCTTTAACTGAAAAATATAAGGTTTAACTGAAGGATATAAGATTTAACTGAAAGATATAAGATTTAACTGAAAGATATAAGATTTAACTGAAAGATATAAGATTTAACTGAAAGATATAAAATTTAACTGAAAGATATAAGATTTGACTGAAAGATATGAGATTTAACTGAAAGATATAAGATTTAACTGAAAGATATAAGATTTGACTGAAAGATATAAGATAAAAGATATAACATTTTTTTACCATTATCTGACTCGATTGTCCAAAAGATTACTTAGTAAATTGTAAGGATAAAAATTGCCAGGGGGTAGCTATCTACTGTTATTTATTATTTATCTACTGTTATGGAAGTAGCTATCTACTGTTGAAATGACAAATAGAAAAGTAAAAATAGCTCAAATTACAAATCACAAATTGCCATAGCTTAATAATAGCTTAATAACACATAATCAACATGATTTCCCCAACAAACACTCCACCTGAATAAAACTTTTAGAACCTACTAAAGATCGGAATACCACAATTGATAACCACCAAATAACGGATGTTGTATATATTTATTTCCAAAAAGCATTTAACTTTATCTTGCATCCCAAAATGTTGTCAAATGTGAAAATTGCTTTGTATAATAAAAAAAGTAATCTGAATTTTCTTTATTTTAATCTTTGAATTTCTGTATTTCTCACCAATACTTATTAACAAGTCAAGGTCAGTGGTTCTTTCTTAACAAGTCAAGGTCAGTAATTCTTTCTTAACAAGTCAAGGTCAGTAGTTCTTTCTTAACAAGTCAAGGTCAGTAGTTCTTTCTTAACAAGTCAGTAGTTCTCTTAAACCTAATGCGTACTGTTAGTAGAGTTAGTGGAGTGGAGTTCCACAGTGTGTTAAGTCTCACATTATTTATATTAAATGTTAATGATTTAGCAGCCATAACTTTAAAACTTTATGCGGATGATATAAAGTTATATAAATCGTACTGTGACATGGTTTTAAGGCAAGATTTAGCTATAGCTCTAAATAAGCAGTTGTGTTTTGCACTCAGAATAGTACCTCCCTCATTATGTTTGAAATCACTTGAAGTTTGACATCTAAAAAATGGCTTAGTAACCTGTTTTTAATTTTTTTGCAAACTGGTTTGTATAAATTATGCAAACAATTTTGTCGGGTTTTTTTTCTTACCAAGCTGCTGACACGTGGAACCTTGGAATCTATGCAAAAAACACTTCAATATTTCAAAATAAAATTAAGCCTTGAATTCAACAAATACTTATTCTAAAAGACCTAATTATTTGTTTGTTTATAATTATATAACTGTTTTTGTAGTGTTTTTTTCTGTTTCTTTAATTTTAATCTAATAATGGGAACGCAATTAGTGTCGATCTGTTAGTGTTAGGACATGTGATGTTCTAATAAAATATATATCAATTTATATATAATAACTTATAAGTTTTTTTATTATCTATAATTTATAAAAACCAGAAAAATATCAGATTTACTAAAACAGTAAGTAGAACGTAAGAAATAGTTTGAATTCAACTAAAACTTAAATAAAAATAAATAAATAGTAAAATACAAAATATAGTCAAAATTTAAAATATAACACTCAAGTCAACTTTTAATGAGAAAATGCATAAAAAAGATAAGAAAGAGAGAGCTAAGATGACAGATGAGAGAGAGCTAAGATGACAGTACATAAAAACAAACCTTTGAAGGGTCATAATCAGGAGGATAATACTTGTTGACACCTTTTCGTTCACCCTAAAAAATATATTGAGCATAAATAACTATCTAGGTTATAAAGAATATTAAAATGAAATTTATAATTTATTAATTAAAAAAAAATTATAATTACCATTTCTTTATTGTTTTCTTCTTAATTCTGATTACAGTTCCTTTCAATTGTTTCTTTATATATTTGATAATATTAGTTATCTACAACTATTAACATGTCTGCTTTTTTTTAATTTTGAAGTGAATATTTCACAGGTTAAAAAAAACTCATAATATTATGTAATTTATGACAACAATAGGTTGCTAATACAAACAATAAAATTCTTCTCAATTTCTTTTCTTTATATATTTAATTTCAAAAGTTAATTGCAAAAACTACCAACATTACTGAAAAAATTACCAACATTACAATTACCAACATGATTTTCTTAAAATAGATTTGCTTCAAATGAATTATAATAATATGTAACTCACTGCAACGCTTGGTTGTTAATGCAAATAACAAAATTGTAAAATAAAAAGTTACGAGTTTGCAATTTGTTACACAAAATTTTAAGGATGTTAACCTTACACTTTATTTTTTAAACATTTTAAAGAAAATAAAAAAATAACATCAAAATTTTTTAAATGAACAAAGTTCTCAAAAATTTTTCAAAAATTTAATCTTATCAAAAATCATATTTCAATATATAACTATTTTAAATATGAAAACACTTTCATTCTAAAAAATTTCAAATTATATAAGAGCATTATTTAATTTGAGACTTAGAATAATGTTAAAAATATAGGTATTAAATTATGTAAAGTCTATTATAATTATAATTTGATATTATAAAATCATAAATATCAAGTTATATAAACTCTATAGTGTTATATAAAATATCTTTTATAAACAGGTATCAAAAGTTACAAAAAAAATAAAATACAGTTAATAATATAACCAACTACATTATTGTATTTTATTATTATTGTTTATTCTTTAATTATAAAGTGCATTTACATACATAAAAGTATTTTATTTTAAAACACAAAAAATCAAATAAGTGCATTTTATCATTTCAGTAACCTTTAACCCAGTCAACCAAATAATTTAAAGGTTTCCCTTCTTCATAAAGCTTTAAGTTTTGAATAAATACTTCAACCAACTAAATAAAAATTATAAAAATGTTTTAAAAACTTCACATAAGAAAAATGACAAGTCGACTTGCTATTATATTTTATTGTATCAAACTTTTGTGTTTTGTTTTTTTCATTTTATGTTATTATTACTTGCAGTCATAAACTTGCAATAACAAACAAATTTTGAATTTAAACAAAGTAACAATTATATTACTGTTATAAACAGTAATTAGTTATATATTTATACAAAAATTATAAAAATAATGTATTTTAACAACAATAAAAAATTACTTCTCTTGCTAAAAAGCAACCAGCAACATGAGGAGTTATTGTGACATTTGGCAAACTCCAAAGCTTGCTATCAGACATCAATGGCTCTTTTTCAAAAACATCAAGCACAGCACTTTGAATCCATTTATTTTCTATTGCTTCAATAACATCTGCCTCAGTCAAAATATTGCCTCGACCAACATTGATAAATACTGATTGACGCTTAGCACAATGTTTTAAAATTGAATTTGAGAGAATTCCAGTTGTGTGAAGCGTCTTAGGTAAAGTATTAACAACATAATCAGACTTTTCTAAGTAGTTAGCCAAAGAAGAAGGAGTAAAAAGTTCATCAATGTTTTCACTTTCGTTTTCTCTTTGATAAGATACCATACCATAAACAGTCATCCCAAAACCTTTGCAATGTTTTGCAATTTCTTTACCAATATCTCCTGCTCCAAGGATTGAGACAGAGAGCTGAGATAAAAGACGATAAGGAGGACTGTTTTCTAGTATCTTTGTTTGGCCCCTAATATATGATATTGAAAAAGAAATAATCATTACTTGTATTTAAACTTTTTGAGAAATAAAACAATAGTAAATATCTAAAAGCTAAAACAAAAAATTTTAACAATAGAATTATAAACTATTGCAATAATTAGATAACAATTAATAAGAGTTACAAACAGTCCAGAATATAAATATTTATGAAATCTGATAAACTGATTAAATACACAATAAGACTTTTTTAATTTAAACTGTGTGCCCATTGATTCGAGCACTATAATTTTTTCTATCAAAACCACTAATTGGCCATATCATTATGATTGGTCATATGGAGCACTTTTTCTATAAATAATATATTGTAAAAAGATAAACCAATACATTTAGCTTAATACATTTTAAGAGGTCAAAAATATCAAATTTAACGAGTAATTAACTATTGATCACTTTATTTATGACTCTAAACTATCTGATCTAATGAATCTTAAACTATCTGATATAACTGTATTTTATTTAAAAACTTTTTTTGATTGGTTAGCAACATTCGATCTAGGTATTTATGATGGCATTAAACTTTTTATAGTTTTTTTTTTTTATAATTCATATATATTTCTATATCTTATTGGCTTGGTTTATTTATCCAATAAGTACCAATTTTAGCGTCTTGTATTTTTAATAGTTTTATCAAACAGCATTTATCACATTGGTAGTGAAGTTGAGTATTTTGTTGTTTTCTATTAGAATATAATAATTTTGTATTATCATCTGTTGTTTTTTGTCATTTTTGTTGAAAAATTTTATTTTATTATATGCAGGCCTTCTCAGGAGACGCGTGCGGTTGCACGCCTTGAATGACCACGCATATATATTTTTTTGTTGATAACATGGCCACGATTTTTTTTGCATTTATTAAAAATGACGCATTTTAAAAACGCGCTGAAAAAATCAAATTTTTTAATTAGTCATCTTATTGGTTTTCTTTATTAATAATAATTTATTATTACAATTATTTATGAGAAAATTAAAACCTAACAATAATGCACATATATATATTTGTAATTATTGATAAAATAAAAAGATAAAAATAATATATAAATATATATATTTTTATTTGTTTTCATGCATTTAATAAAATTCTGGCGATTTTTTGTTAAGTTTTTATTTACTAAATGAATTACGTCATTAAGTAATTATTATTTCTTCCTGTTGGCTTGACAAGGTTTTAACTAAAACTTTTTATATAAGGAAAATTAAAAAAGAAAATTTTTTTTTTCATATGTATTACAATTATTTATTTTATTGTTTTTTTTTTGTTTGTTTATGTACTATTATTTTGGTGGACATATAGATGTTTAGAAAAGATTTAAACATTTAAAAATTTAACTTAGCAGCAAAGCCGGCGCGATAGGGGTGTATGTGTGTGTGTGGGGGTGTGACCCCCCCCCCTATCAATGATTTTTAGTCAGCAATTCGACCCTTTGTCAGCAAATATGACCCTTTTTGACTAGTTAGTCTGCAAATGTAGACTCTGTCGATAGGTTAGTCAATTAAGTAAGTCGGCAAATGTCGTTATGGCAGTCGGTAAATTTTAAAAAACAAGGACCTTTTTTTTATGGCACCCCAACCCCCCCACCCACGTGACCCCTACTCGCGCCGGCTCTGCTTAGCAGCATTATAAAAATTCAATCTTATAAAAATAAAGCAATACGCATAAACGTAAGAAGTGTAAATAGAAACTTCAACAAACCAATTACTCAATTAAGTAATAATAAAGATGTAAAACTAAAATATTTTTCTGAAGTTACTCTTGGTCTTGCGAAAAAATTATTTCCGGTTTGATAACTTTCACAAAAGTTACGAAAAATCACTCAGGAAGAGTGCCACCAGTTTTTAAAAAATTTCTTTGTTAATTATTTTTAATGAATGAGTTCAATACTTATGCAATTCTTTTGTTACATAACTCTAACTCTTAATAATAGATAAAAAAAAATCATGATAACCGCTCGATAATGTAAGTGATGTAATTTAAGTAAAAAATACAGAATCAAAAAAACAAGTTTATTTAAAAAAAGTTTTTATAAAAATTTTAAATTGGTATAGAATTATCTGCATTTTGTAAAAGTTTATAATACAAACTGATTTACTGATTCGCAGAAATGAGACCTATAAGTTGAATTTATTTTTTTACCTTGTTTTCCGTGTAACATCAGTGCAAGTGGCATTTTTAGTAAAAAGTTTGCTTTCTTTCGGCCGAACACAAAACTTTTAAGCTTATTTTATTTATTAGACTAACAGCTTTTATACAAAATTGCTAAAAGTTTAATTTAAAAGTTTAAATAAGCTAATATTTGGTAAAGTTATTGCGCGGGTAACGTAAGTTAAAAATGGAAATGCCTATATATGTTATTTTAATATTTCTATTTTCTCATTAATAACTATAGTAATGAATTATTAATAATAATTAAAAAAAGATAAGCAATTAATTTTGTTTTTTTAGTGCGTTTTTAAGATGTGTCATTTTTAATAAATGCAAAAAAAATCGTGGCCTTGTTATCAACAAAAAAATATATATGCGTGGTCATTCAAGGTGTGCGACCGTACGCGTCTCCTGAGAAGGCCTGATATGTATATATCTTATTTTATATGTATACATTTTTTATTTTATTTTTTAAATTTTTTTATATTAATTGGTATTGATTTCATTCCTCTCACTCTCCATATTCTTCATAAACAGTCTTTACAAATTTGGGTGAAGTTAGGATTTTGGTTATTTGTAGCCCTTTTTTACTGAGTACGGAGTAAAAAATCGCGGGGTAGAGTATAAATGGTGATGATAATTATCTGACGGGATAAACTAGGTATTGGTACTGAGCTTCTTTGAAACGCCAGTAATAATAAACGCAATTTTGAGGAGAAGTTTATTACCACCATTATGATTAAAAAAAATTATGATTACACAAAAGTAGTAATGTTTTTTTTTATCTTATACCTCCTATCATTTTATCATATACCTCCTATCATTTTATATTTGCTTATTTCTAAATAGTGATATATCTACGCATATGTATATTAGGGTGTGTCATACTTTATGATTTTTTGAAAAAAATGTTTTACCTAAAACTCGGTATATAGAAAACTTGTGTACAACTATTTTAACATTAAAACCAAAAAAAAAACTAAAAATATTTTATGTTAAGCTACCGGAAAGTGTGTTTTAAAATTACATATTTATGGTCAATTTTTCGTAACTAGCTTTGACCCTAACCACAGATACTGTTTTGCGTCCACGCATTTTTATACACAAGTAATTGTTTATACCCACTCATGTTGAATTCTATTTGATATCAAAACTATATAAAGTTGCCAATTTATAAATTGTTGAACATATAATTTGTATGTTAAATGTTAAAAAATATTGTAAAAAATTTTAAAAATTTTAAAATTTACGCAAAAAGCTTGCAAATTATGAACTTTGCTATTTAATTATGGCAGAGTCAATATCGCCAAGAACTAGAAAGAGAAGCGGATCAAAGCTTTCAGAATATATAGATTCTGGAACAGATATTCTTGTATCGGAGTTACCAATGCTATGAGATCTTCTTAGATATGGTCTGTTTTTGCAAGAAAGAAACAATAGAAACAAAAGAAATTATCCAATAAAATCACTAATGAACGAAGTTTACTCAAAGTTGATTGGTAAATGAATCCACGCCAATGCTTTATTTGTTTATCCTATAACACATATTGAACATTATATTACTGCAACATTGATGAATGAATGGAATGCAGCCAACCTGGTTGCTAGGGGAAAAGCAAGCTTAAAAAATAAAGATAGACTTTTGGAAAAACTTGACAAATTGTTTGATATACTGAACTGCAATTGCCAAATTATTACTTGTCAAGAGAAAAATTGTTTTTCAGAATGTAACGATGAAGCCCATATTAACTGTACGTGCGAAAAGAAAAAGATTTCAAAGAAAGAGTTAGCTTTTATACTTAAACAAAGAGTTAAAATAGGGACTACCGGTCGGCATTAAATTGGATTAACTGACTTGAAAGAAAACAAAAAGTTACATAAAATTGAAGAAAGAAGATTGAAAGAAGAAGTAAGATTTTTTAAAATAGTTATGTTTTTAATTAGTAATTAGTTAATAAAGGAAAATTAATTAAACTCTAAAGTTAATGTAATTTTAGTTATATTACTTTATATTATATTATATTATTTAATTTTATATTATATCTGTCTGTTTCAACTTAAAATAACAAAATCTAATTAAACTCAAAATGAAATTTTTACATGCGACTATTTATATTTTAATTATATTAGGAAATGTATTTACAATATTTTATAAAACATCAATTAATGAAAATTCAATTAATTTATCCATAGCTAAAGCAAAAAGCGTCTGAAGAACTGCAACAAACAATTAGAAGTCAGGAATAAAAGTTTAAATTGGAACTTAGCAAAACAGATGAACTATTTAGTAATGAATGTTTCACAACAAACAGCAATACTGAACTCAATCTAATGTGTCGACAGAATGAAGATCAGGAACATTCACGAAGACAAAGGAATTATGAAAGTATTTCCAACATAGCGTTAGCAAGCATACAGTATGGTACAGGCTTACGGGAAACAGCTGCAATCGCAACGGCAGCTTAGATGGACGCAGGAATAGTTAAAGAAGATGATACCAAGTTGGTTATTGACCACAGCAAAGTCAAGAGAGCTCAAGAAAAAATTATGCAGTCTCTTTCTAGAGAGCTTGATACTCAATGCAGGTCTATCAATATTGATTGTGTTTTTTTTTGATGGCAGAATTGATAATACAAAAGTTCAATTAGTAGTTAAAGGTTCGTCTAAATGCTATCCTGCTACAATCAAAGAGAAACATTATACAGCTACAATCAAAGAGGAACATTATCCTGCTACAATCAAAGAGGAACATTATTTCAAGAACCCGGTGGTAGGTATCTTTTCCAAATCACACCTAAAAAAGTCCAAAAAGATATAAAACACCCTGAAGTAATTGCTCAGAATATATACGAATTTTTAAAAAGTAATGGTGCCAATAAAAACTTACGAAGAAAGCTAAACTGGCTGGTTTGCACACACCATACTGATGAACTTCCTCTGCATTATCTGATAAGAACTCTTGATGGAGAGACTCTGAGCAGTATCAAATGGAGAGGCAGCATTGGAAAATTATTAAATGATGCAACTGCTCTGGAAACTAATCCATCCTTTGAAAAAATTGATGTCGGAAATCCGCTTATTACTCTAAAGAATGAAGAAACAAATTGACTGCGAAACTGCGCAGAGAAACAAGTTGACCGCGCTCAATTTGTTTCTCCACGCAGCGGCCTTCCTTGTCAAGGTTCGTGTTTTGGAGTTATAGAGTTGAGAGAGGGTTATAACTACTATTAAGTAGTGGCCTTCTCGGCCTTGAGAAAGTGAATAACAAAAAAAAAATTAAAAAAAAAAAGTTTCTGCTATTAGAAGTGGAAATATACCCGCAGACTTGGCTTTACTTTAATTTTAAAGCGCATAGACATGTATGTCTATGCGCTTTAAAATTAAAGTTGAGCACAAGTTTACTGAAGAACCGAGACATTCTTTACCAGCTTAGCCTTCTGAAACATCAACCAAGTGAAGTAGTAAAAATTGTTATGTCAACAGTTTGACATTCAGCGTGGTATGCTTTCTCTAAGTGCATCATACAGACCATGCTCTGCTCAGAGAATGTAGAGGAAAGAAAGAACGGTATAGTGTTAATTGTGAAAATCAGAGGTCCTGGTGATGAAAATCTTCAAACTGGTGATCAAAAGGTGAGAGCTCCAGAAATAAAATCTGATGCAACAATACTTATACAGCTAACCAACAGGAATATATCCTATGAGCTTATTCTTACTTGTGATCTGACAACAGAAAAAGTAAAACAGATAATATTTCAGCCTATGATTGTTCCAAATTGGCCTTGTCACGGACAGTCAATTGAAAGACGAGTTAAACAGGTAACAGAAGCAGCAAGCAAAGTTTATTCTCAAGAAAAAAGAGATTTATTCTCAAGAAAAGTTTTAAAAGAGGGCAGGACTTATTGAGAGAATTAATGTCTACTAATCGGTCAAAATAAGATTTGATTTTAATGACAAAAAAAATAGAAATTTTATTTTGTTAAAAAAAATTATAATAAAAAAAAATCTATTTTTATTAAATAAAAAACTAATTGATAGAAAAATGATTATAAATGGAAACTTTTATAAACATTTTAATAATAATTTTAAAAATAGTTTGTTACATTTGATGGAGGTAATCTGTGGTGTTCAAACATTCATCAGTTCAACCTGCATCAAATGTAACAAACTATTTGATCTAACAAATCTCAAACTATTTGATCTAACAAATCTCAAATTATCTGATCTAACCAACCCATCTACAATCAATACTGAAACACTAATCAACTCTCATACCAATTTACAAATAACATTCTATCAATATAATTAACACTGATTAACACTGCTCCATTTTGACTTAATTGAAATTAAAAAAAAACTCATTATACTAATTATAATTATTACTTCTAATGCATCTATGTATTATTAATTATTTTTGTTTATAAATATTTGTTATAACAACTTATTTAAATTATTATTTTTAATTAATCTTCTAATATAATTATCTAAAAATATATTTACTACTTTTTTATCATCTAGTTACTAGGTCTACTTTCTTATCATTTAGTTACAAGGTTACACCTAGAACATTAAAACTAGTCTATAATTCCAAACAATTTCAAACATAACAATTTTTTTACTCTAAACACTGTTCTTAGCATTTCAGTATGTACAATTTTAGTTACTAACTTTTCTTTATTTCACATAATACCTTTTGCAAAAATTTAAAATAAATTAACAACAATAATAAACAACCAAATAAGTAAATTATCATATATTTACTTAAATTTTAAACATTTATATTATATATAACTTAATTATAAACTATTTATATTTAAATAATTAAAAAAAAGTACCATATACTTTTTTCTTGCTGTTCGTAAAGAAAACGAGTTTTTCTTTCAGTGTTTATAATATGAGCAATGACATACTCTGATAAATGTTGTTTCATTTTGCCACCAAATCGAGTATATTGAAACTTTGGAAGATTATCTTTATTAAAGTACGGTGTTAAAACATCAACACCTATTTAAACAACAATCAAAAAAATTAATTAAAAAAAAGTTTTTTAGTCTTTAACCAATTTAATTTTTAAAAAACCAATCATAAACAATAATAAGTCATCAGATCTGTAATAAACAAAAATTACATTTCATAAAAAAAAATATATGTTCATAAACTATAGTAAACTGCATTTTTGACTGAATAAAACACAATAAAAATATTGAAAATAGAAAGATATATGTAAAAAGTTGGCAATACAAAAAACAAATGCAACTAAATGAGAACCTAGCTGTAATGCTGATTATAAAATGAGGACCTAGCTGTCATGTGGTAATAATGTAGTGATAGAGCGCTTACCTCATAAGCGAAAAGTTCAGAGTTTGATCCCCACCATGCCCCTGGTAATACCTTGCTCAACTTGTTTCTTCGCACAGCAGCCTTGTTTGTGTTTCTGAGTTATAGAGTTGATAGAAGATTGTAACCACAACAAAAAGTAGCCTCCTATACTGTTGAGGCCTTCATGGCTTTAGGGAGGTAAATTTAAATTAAAAAACAAATATGCTGATTATTTGTGATGACATCAATAAAAAATAATAGCATTATATATACTTAATCAAAATTATTTTAAGCTGTTCAAGTTTGTATTTTTAAAAACTACTTTTTAGTGAAAACTAAAAAAACTAAACAAGAGTATATAGTATTTAAGGAGAAAAAAAGAAATGGAAAAAGGATGCAATTAGAAACATTTTGTATTGTACATTAAAGTAATAAAATTTTGTGTTGAAAACATTATAAATAATTAGTTATTATTTATTATTAATTTTATTTGTTTATGTGGGTTACACTTTTCTTTCAAAATTGTATATTTGAGTGTAATTCATAGATTTTCAGATAATCAATAATAAAAAAAAAAAAACCCTAAACTTTTTAAATTAAACTTTCTCAATTCCATAAAGTGTACAAAATAAAAAAATTAAAAAAAAAAAAAAAAAATCAAATTTCTTTGAATTTATGAATTCAACTGTAGTTTGTTCCTGCAGTTTATTGTTAACTTGTTTAAATTCAAGTAAAATGTTGCAGTGAATTGTATTAATATTATGTTGAAGTAATTGTAACCAATAATTTGATTCAGTAATATTTTAGCAATTTACTCCAGCTGTCAGATCAAGAGCAGCCTGGTACTGGCAACAACAATCCAATTCAAACTTCTAAATGTTTTACTGCATTAAAAGACTTCCTCAGTGTTAGAAAAAGGCTAGCCTGTACAATAAGGCAAAGGCAAAGAATAAGAGGCAAAACCAGGTATTTTCTGTAGAGTGATTAACCATGGATCTTCATTCATTCATGACTAATTTTATGGGTTCTAGGATCTGTCTCTAAGCAAGTAGATAACCTTGCTATTTTTCTCAGGCCTTTCTTGTAAAGTTTTTAAAGATCTGTGGAAGCTTTCATAAAAATTGATTCTTTCAACCACTTTAATATAGCAAAATATAAACAGTGTCATAATATAAACATTGTCAAGGATGACGCCATTGCATAGTTTAATATTTCCAGGTGCCTAGTAATAATAGTAATCACTTTGAATTCCTTTTTCATGTTATAATTATGACTATAGTAAGCAAAAATATATATAAATAAAAACCCAAAAATCTTTTTCTAGCTTTTATGATCTTACAAACTTAGTTTCCAGAGGATCACAATCACTTAACTTTATTTTTTGCTTTGTGTCTCAGGTTGAGGGTCATTATGATCACTCAGCAACTAGTATCATGTAACCTAGTACTTCCAGCCCCATGCCCTGCTGTCTTGTAGGGTTTTTTTTTTAGGCAAAGGCTAGGAGAAAAAATTTGTGATTTAAAAATCTCCTGCCTTGGAGCTCTTAGTTGAGTAAAGGCTAGAGATGGTGTCCGGATAAAAAAACTCATCTTGGGCAATTGTTAACTGCATCCAGTTACTGTCTTGAAGAGGGCCTCCTAGGCAAGACTTAAAGGGAAAGCAGAATAGTTCTGCTAACCAACCTCGAACCTAATCTTTATCTATTGAGCTGGGGTAGATGTAAACCTGTGTTACATTGTTTCCTGCCAACAATGATGAATGCTGGATCTTCATGACTCAACTCATATGTCTTTGCATGTGCCTCCTTGATAGTGGCTATACAACTCTTGCTGTTATCTTTTAATTGAAGTACAGCTCTAAAACCCAGTTTAATGGTTCTGAGGCTGGCTGGTATTAAGGTTTCTTAAATTCTGTAGTAGCTCTCAGAGAGTTTGATTCCATCAACAGCTGTAAAATAACAGAGCAATAACAATTCCATGTTGCACATGGTGTCATAACAACTGTATAGCTCATAGCTTAGGAGGCCATACTCTATTTAAAAATTAGTCAAGTTCTCTTTAAACTTAAATCATGCCAAAAGTAATCCAAAATATTAAACATAAACCATCCCCACCACCTAACTGTTTTAATATATCTTTTACAAATATTAGTGGTCAGTGCAAAATAACCTTCTACCAGTTGATTCTTACCTCTTGCAAAATTTACCAGACTTGCTTGCTCTTAGTAAGAATAATTTAAATTCCACTATTCCTTCTACAGATCTCCGTGTTGATGAGCACTATCCTTTGATTCGCGAAGACTCAAATAGTCACATGCTTGGCTAGGGGGTATACATATGCATTAATTCCCCTATTTATCAAGTCACATGCTTTGCTAGGGGTATACATACACATTAATTCCCCTATTTATCATAAGGTTTGAATAATTTGCCTATTCCATATGTTATTAGTGACTTCAATGCTCACCACACTGAATGGCCTGGCTCTAATGCCACTGACCCTGCTGGAACAAGTAAATGACCGGTGCTGGTATTTGACCGTGGCCAAAGCCAGTTCTACGGACAGGACTGCATAAATATTGGTACATATTGACTAATTTTCATATACCATATCAATATGCATTAGTATTTATACAGCTTCAGCCATAAATCCGGCTTTGACACCAGCCCGAGTCATTTACTAGCTGGAACTAAAGCCAATAACTTCTGCATTTCTCAATCTCTTACTTAGATAGTTAACTTTGTGACTTTGTTTTCATGACAACCCTAACCAATTACTTTCACTCCTTGATTTGTGTCTTGTCTCTGACCCTAGCTTTTGTTCAATGTCTCCTTTTTCTCCGTTAGGTGGTTCTGAGCATGAAATGATCTCTATAAATCTTTTATCTTCTACTACTTCTTTGGACTCACCCTATCATTTCACTACTTACTACTACCCTAAAAAATTTTGGATAACTGACGAGGATTTTGTTAAGAGGAGTAATAATATTTACAATAAATAGTTTTGATTAGTGTTGGTGCAACATTCCTACAAAAATGAGATGAACAACATTCCTACAACACATGAGATGAAATCTGGAGAAGAATTTCTTTGGTTTGCAATTTTGATTCAAACCATGGATTACAAAAGGAATTATAAAAGTTTTTAATCTACGTTAACAACCTAATCAACTCTGTTCACTTCTCTTCAATCCATCTGTTTGCTGATGATACAAATCTCTTGCACATCAACAAATCGTATCATTCTTTATGTAAAAATATTACCTCGGATCTAAAAGGTTCACTGGTTAAATGCCTATTATGTCTCAACACCGAAAAAACTGAACTAATTTTTTTTTTATCTCTAAGAAAAAACAATTTTTTGTAAAAATGTTAAAATCAAAATCAAAATTAATAACAAACGGCTATATCCTTCAAGAGTTATCAAATATCTTGGTGTATTAATTGATTGTAATCTTTCATGGAACTTTCATCTTGATGAACTAAGCAAGAAACTATCTTGAGCTAACGGTATGCTTTCAATAATTCGTCATTATGTCGATAAAGTTACACTTAGGAGTATTTACTATGCATTATTCTCATCTCATCTTAGCTATTGTTGTCAAGTTTGGGGTCAAGTTGGAAACTATCGCATTAACAAGTTGCTATTGTCTCAGCGTCAATCCATCAGATTAATAAACTTCCAACCAATTAAATCAGATACATCAAAGTCTTTCAAAAAACTTTTCATTCCAACATTTCCAGCCCTAGTAAAGTATGCTAATCTCCTATCACAAACTTGTTCACAGAAAGACTATTACATTCCTACTCGACTAGAAATATACATAATGGAAAACTAAATGTACCATCTTTTAAAACCCAGAAGTATGGTAAACTTTCTATTGTTTATCAGTGCATCTGTGAATGGAACAGGAGCCTTGCATGCATTTTGAATGAGTCCAAAAAAATATATCCTAAAATACCTTTACTCCATCTTAAACAATATCTTAAACAATATTTTAAAAAATTCAAACTTTTTATTCTAATTTTTTGGCATTATTATCCTTATGATTTAAATATTGTTTTAATTTTCTTTTTGTAATTACTACAATTATCATCAGCACTTTTTGTTTATTTTATTATTAGTAAAACCTGCAAATTGATTTCTACATGTTTGTTTTGATGTATATTTTATGTGCTTTGGTTTGAATGTTTATGGTCCATCTGTTTCAGTGTGTGTCTTTGCTTATTATTACTTATATTATATTAAAATTTGGTGTCACTCCTTTGATCAGATTTCTGTATGAGTGACACCATCCTAATAAATCTATAACTTATTATTATATTAATATTAGTTTTTTTTTTTCATTGTTATTATTGTAAACATACTTATTATTACTATTACTATAACTTGTATAATTATTTTTTTTATCTTATGTTATTATTATATATTTTTACTAATATTACTATTATTATTATTACCATTATTATCAAAACTATTGTAAAATGATTTACGGAAAATAAATAGCTTGTTGTTGTTGTTGTTGTAAAGTTGACTGGGATTCTTTTTGTGTTTTTTTTTTGGTGACGATCCTTGGGCTAATGTCTTTTCTCTCTCCGCTGATAAATGCGCCTCTTACATATGCTTCCTTCTGGAATCAGGCAAGAATTATTTATTATATAT